AACAGAAGATAATGGTTAGAGTTAGTTGTCAGGGTTTGGTATGCGGTGGTTTGGTAGGCGGAGGTTTGGGTCTGGGTGGAGGAACATGGGTTTGATGGTGTTGGCCGGGTACAGATATGTTGCAGCTTATATACCCTAACCAGGTAGTACCCTTATCAGACCTTCCCGGAATACCAGCTGCGTGCTGGAGTGGGGAGCACCGTATCGGGCTTGTAGGTGACTTCATATAAGCGGGCTGGAGTGAGCACCACAAACTAAATAATTTAAGTAGAAGAATATTTCATTACAGGATTCAAATAAGAAAGTGATACAAACTAAAGGCAATACTTAAATGAAAATAAAAAAGTATAAACTAAACAAGAAATAAATACAAAAGAGGAATATTCAAATGAAATTGAAGAATATAGAATAAGCTAAATTATGAGAGTTATAGTGAAAAAAAAAATGATGTAAAGTAAAGTATAAATTAAATACAGAAGGTTAAATTAAACTAAATACATTAAAATTAAAGTGTGATCTAAAGTGTAAACCAACTGAACTTTAAGTATAATCTAAAGTGAAAACTAACTAATAAAGAATGAATGAATGTGGAAATTAAAGAGAAATCTATTTTAAGGAAGAAATTATCGAGTAAATCTAAGGAATTAAAAAATAAAATGTAGAATATTTTTAATTATATGTGATTTGCAGAAGACGTTTGCATTACAATAACTTATTTTAATTAATAAATGCTTCACTGATCTTTCACGTTGACTTCAACCGGAAACAAATAATGCGCAAGACTTTATTTCCGTTATTCCCAAGAAACGCATTCACAATTTTGTTCTTCTTTTATTTTCGTTTGGCATCAGGCGTTGATATTTTTTTATCATACTTTAATTTATGTACGAAATATGTACTACATGTTAAAAAATGTTTTTTTTTGCTTATTTTTACAGTAACAAATAGTAAATTAAGAACAGGTGAAATAGCAAAGCGTTATTCGTAAAAGTTGCGTGTTTTTAATTATATGCGAATTATTATCATGAAATGAAAATAATTGAAATTAGTGTAATTATTTGAAGAAGGAAAAAAAACAAGAGTATTCATCAAGGCTCGTGCCACTTCTGAGTAATATTATTATAGTGTTCTGAGAAAATCTGTTTATTTTCATTACAATTCTCTCCAATGCAATATTTTACACTTATGAAGTCCACGTTTATTAACAATTTACTTATTTAAACTACAGAAATTGAATAGGTTGTCAAATATTAATTACCTGATGAACACCATACGTGATTTACGTAAGAAAACGATCTGTGCTGTACATATAATATTTCACTTGCAAATTCTGGACGTTCACGCTCTACGCTTTAGTGAACTTCCGGAAAGTATATCTAATAAGCGAGAAAGGTAAGCGCGGTTCTCAGTAAACGTACATTATCAATTTAATTGTTTGTTAACGTTTAAATTATATAATAATCATATTGATAATATTGTTTAATTGCTTCAAAATTGGAATAATTCACATTAAAATAAGCAAGTTTTATAGCATATCTTGAGAACGATTAACAGTACATACATCAATTCATAATCAAATAAATCAGAAATGTATAAGCTTTAATACGAATGCATAGTTTTAACTGGAATTTTCTCCCTCACAACAAAACATCATATTAATACTTAAATTGAAGGTATATTCTAGACTTTAAAACGAGTATATAGCCATATTTGTGGCATTAGTGAATTACCTTTAATAAAATGTAATAGTTGAAAAAAAAAATAAGTTTCTAAGGAGCAATGTTTATATTTTATTGTATAGTTCGTACATAAATCAGGAATAAAATTAAAGATCAATCTATGATTTTTCAAATATTTGTAGAATTATATTGGTGATAGTCTTGATTTTTCTGTAATGGAGCTGTAAAGATTTGGAAATTACATTAACGTCACTTATGCAATTGGTAACACTTAGGTCACATATTTAATGCATGCACATATGCAGATGATTAATTAATTAGTTGTTATTTATTATATGTGAAATGATGTAATAAACTCGAGGTGTGCTCGTTTTCGTCTATTTGTTTTAATTAAATCAATTAGCTATTGGCCGGAGGCGAGGCTATCAAGTTGACGAGTAAAATTTATTGTTATAAGATTATAATTTCTAATTATTTAAATAAATTAATTAATGTGGCAATTTAGCGGCAGTTCTAGATGGCCGTAATTAATCTCGGATTGTGTTAGAGCAATGTTTATTTATTTTTATATATTTATAGGAAATGAGCTTAATTAGAGGTCCGAATATTTTAAATAATTATTGTCCCGTTCGAAGAGATCCCTGAAATTACGTGCAAAGGATGAATATTATATTGGTGGTAATTGGTGCAATTTGCTCGTTGCTCCCATTCCTCAGAGAGAGCGCACGCGTTTATTCTCTTGGTCTCTTCGCGAGTCGACGAGGAGAGACCATATCGCGAGTTCCGTGGATGATATGTAGGTAAATCAGATGCCATCGAAGCTGTTCTTCTTCTTCTGGTAAATGCAAGAACTCGAAATCGCGCGAACACAAGTTGCAGAAATGTTGCAGTTACCTTTATGGATAATCTCGGTTCGCGAGACGACCGATCCGCGAGAGTATTATCATCATCATGAACATTACGAAACGACAAGCCTCTTCCTTCTTCCATCCATCCGTCGTACAGCAACAGTAACAACCTGCAAGGTGACCGACACTCGGTCAAGGTTAGCAACGAGCTGTCGTTACGTAACGCGCGCAGACGACGGCGAAGACGTCCTTATGCAATCCACGCGCACGCAGCGCTCCAGTTATGCAAGATTTCGCAGGAAGAGGTGATCACCTTTTTGCTTCTCCTTCTCATCTTCTGCATTCGCAGTGCATTTCGCGACGAATCGCGCGGAACGCCGCCGCCCGTTGCTCCATTACAGCATCAAACACTTTCTCAAAAGATCGTCCGCTGATAAATCCTGATAATTCATTATAATTTCTATTTAATATTGTTATTTAGATGGACGGATAAGCAAATCCAAATGATAATTATGATGTAATTATGAAGTTATTTGTCAAGGAAATTTCCTTAAACTTGACCTAAAAGACAAATATTAAACTACTTAATTGATACGCAAAATTTGTCAAATTTTACGTATAAAATTTTGATGTAATTACAATACAAAAATAGATTTCCTTCATTATTTTATTGACCAATTCGACTTGCTCATTAATTTGTCAAATAAATGATGATCTAATTATAATGCAAAAAGATCTTTCCTTAAACTTGACATTTTTTTATTTTAACAACTACTAATATGCGACACTTGGCAAGTAACTATTGTTTATGAAGCAGAAATGATTATTTTATTAAGTTTTTAATGTGATGATTTATTTTTAAATATTATTATTTTATTAAATCAATTTCATTACTGTAAATTAGATAAACAAGAAATATTTTTCAATTTATTATTTAAAAAAAATATATATCAAAAAATATCCTCAATGTAATTGAGAACTAAGTGAATCGTGAGATTTAGACCGTAAATTGCGAGACGATGGAATAATCAAGTGTGAGGAGATCTCAAGATGTTCGTAGTAGCACTTCTGTGCAGATGCTGGAATGTCGAGGGCAATTGGTATCCATTGCATTGAGTAAGAGATTGCAGAGAATAAAATAAAGTGTATGTATATAGGCACCAGAGACGACGTTTCCTCCGCGCGATGCGATGATATTACATAATTTATTATTGATACAAATGGAACTGCATCTGTGCTACGCGCAAACACGTTTCATCCGCATCAATATTTATTAACTATTAGGTTCCTAGTCCAACATAAAACGTATCCATTAAATATCTTTTTGCATCTTTCTTTGCACAATTTCTGCATGAAATTAAACTAAAAAAAGACCAAACATTTTGTTTTTAAAGTTTTTGTAACAATTTCTAATTTATTAATTGAAACATCAAAATATATAATTTGAGAAGAAGTTTTCATTTTTAGGAAAATTTTTTGTAATTGAAATAAGAAACTATGACAACAGTATTATAATGATTGTCTTATTTTATTAACTTTGTGTTTTATTATGATTGGAGGTTTCTCCACTTGTAAACAATGTGAAAATATAGTAGTTATTTTTTAAAATTAATTATTGTAAGTAGGTTTTGAAAGGTTGTAGATCATCGTTAGTCAGGCAGTAGATTATCAGTTAAACGCTTAATGAACAAGTAAAGAGTTTAACCATTATTAGCACTAAAATATTCAAACGAATTGCTTATTGTGTGACGCTGAAATGCTTGTTTAATTTGAAATGTTTCATAAAAAGTACGAAGTATGAGATGTTTAATTACAATCAATAGAGATATTAATTTATAAGTAAGTAAGTAAATTTCATATATAGTAAAGAAATAGTATTGAAAGAAATGGTAACATATAAATTGTAATTTACATAGTTTTCCAATGTAATATATATTGATTTTAATGATGATACTTACGCCTGAACACTGAACGAATTGCTATACTTTTTTATTGCAGGATGTAAAACGCTCGTTCCATTTGTAAATAGTAAAATGTACGAGTTATTTATCTAAATTGATTATTAGTAGACTAACATGATGAAAATTAGCGACGCTAAAACAGTTGAAATTATTGCGACGAAAGGTTGTTTCGTAAAATACTTGATTTGTTGTTATGAAACATAACAACAAATCAAGTACACAAAGTTACGAGTTGTTTAATTGGAGTCAATGCGTACGTTGAACGAATGCATCGTGAATATTTGCGTTCAACCATTGCGATCACTCACCAATTCCCAAAAGAATGGTGTTAAATCAAGTTTTATCGGGTAATTGAATGATTTGTGACCTGACGTTGACGTTGTTCATCAATATCTTTTATCGATTGGTGCGCGTCCAGCTCTTGCGGAACGGTAAAACAGCATCCAATGACATTGTTTACTTCATTAACCGCATTCACTGACGCCCGGATCCTTCTTTCTTTCTTTTTACAGCTTCTCCAGTAGAAAAAGAGAACAAATAAAGATGATAAACAGGACGAGTTTGGGGAGAGCCTTCGCTTCGACGAGGCATCTACTCGTGATGCTGCTCTTCCTTCTGGTAAGGACGCAGGGAACGGATGAACCGCATTCCAGACAGAAGCGACTTCTGTGGATTACATCGGATGGAAGACTTGCCCTTCCTCCTGGTACAACCCTCGTGATAGCTCCGTCTCTATCGTTGCCATTCGTTAGGTATCCTCCGGACGGGTTCTTCTCGAACATGACCATAAGCCTTCCCTTCACGAGTGAGTGGTAATCTTTTTTTGATAATCTTTGGGATTAGCTTCAATTCTGCGGATTCTTTCCAGTTGATTTCAATAAGCTCGGTCTGACCGATAACGAAAATCCGTACGGTGTGCTTCCTCCGCTTCTTGCGCGATCCATGGGACGAACTGCTGGAGATATCCTCACCAATTACATCATGAAGATGATGGATCACAGTAGGAGGAGGAAACGATCGTTGGAGGAGCCGGCGCCTCAACCACCTGAAGAGCACAAGAACGCATTCCACGGAGGAGAGAGGGCTTTGCTTTATTTGGCGGCGGAGGATTTCCTGGAGAATTTCGGGATGAACGGAAAGGCCTGTTTGCTGAGGGCCATCTGTGAGGTTCATGCGCATCCTCTGCACAATTTCGGGTTGATTGGTGAAATGGTCAGACTTTTCCTGTCGTAAGTTTTAATTGCATACTATAAAATTATTGCAAACAAATTATTGTTTTTTTTTTGCTCGTAGAGCCAGTAAATCTCCATACTCGGAGGTTCTTCAGGAGTACGTGGAGGCTGAAAACGCAGGAAGCGGCAAATCCGGACCAGCTGAATGTTGGCCATACCTGAAAGACTGTCCCAAGTCTCTTTTCCTTCCAAGCCATAATAAGTATAGGTAAAACACATATGATCTTCAATAATAACACAAAAATATACTCTAATATAATAATCATTGAAGCGAACATTTAAATAGGTTTTCCTAAAATATCTCATATTTGTAATGTTTATAGTGAAAATGCGGACGAAACGGGCAACGAGATTTCGGACGACAAAATGCAACGAGTTACCTACGATCCACTAACCAGGAACATGTAATAGAACGAAGGAGGCGGCGGCGAAAACGAGACAGGATGAGGTCCTCTTCCTACTGAATGTGTACATATTTTGTAACAAAGACGGGTGCCAGTGCTAAGTCATTAAAAAGGGATTCAATCGATGGCTCGGAATGTGTTTATAGAATCGGAATTATATTTTACTCAATATATTTCCAAATTTGTACAGTCTATATATATATTTATTATTATTAAATTATTATCGTATCTTGTTTATATTTACATTCTTTTTTTAAATACTGTAATTTATTTATGTTACTTAGCAATTCTTCGAAATAAATTATTTATATTTCAAAAATAATCATATTTTCATGTCCTTTAATTGTATGAGCACTATTAAATATGATGTAACCGATCCGAATAGCGTGAAGAGCATGGTATGGTTAACGTCGAAGAATCCTGCAGCAGAATAGTGTGAAGTGTTGATGGAAGCCAGCATGATCAAATCTTTTCTAACTTCGGCCAATTCCCTTCTTCCTCCTAAAGTGGAGATTATAGAGTAGCACCAAATGGCGGTTTGCTGGGACTCTTCTTCAGCAGCGTTGCAGGATGAGGCGAGAGGTACGCAAAGGATCTGCAAGTTAATCAATAGAATTTCCAATTTTCTATAAGGAGTAGACAATATTTATTTTACCAGTATTGAAATTAAGTATAATCCTAAGTTCAACCAAAAGTGTATTGGAATATCGCTTATCGGCATTTTGGATATTTCTATAATTGCGCCGTTGATAATGTGCAGGAGTCCAAGAACGAAGTTGACTGCTAGATACAAGAGTTGCCATCCGAAGATTTCGTTGAAGACGTCAACCATTTGAGTGAGCTTGATGAAGCAAACGGTGATAGTATCCATGTTCCCGTGTTTGCTTTTGCGGAGAGCACAGCTCTGCAGCATCTCGTTAAGACACGCAAATCTGTACCTAAAGTTGATCACTAAACTGTGGATAAGCATTGCAAGGCTAAGACTAAGAAAGATCTGCGATTTTCGCAAGAATAAATAGAACTCGAAGGAGCGTCCGAAAAGAAAGATCTTGTACATCTCATCGTAACAGGTATATATTAGTAAGATGACGTAGTAGATGCACAGCTCCAAGTAGAATTTGTACCTGATTTCCTTTGGTGGAATCCGGTTCAACTTCTTGTCGATATCCACGAAACCTTGCAGAAGATTGATCAATTTGTTACCTTTTCTCAATTTGATGTTAACACAAGCACTTAAATTCGCCAAACTCAATCCTGCATACGAGATGAAGCTCAAGAACACGTACGTCGCTATATCCGAAACGCCGAAGTACTTAATTCTTCCGTACAGAGAATAACTTATTGCGCTCAGAAGAAGAGCGATGAAGACGTAACCGTAAAACTTGCTTATCGACAAGGGCGCATTCTGCACGAAACTGTAACCCGGAGTTATCGCAAGGATCGTTGTTATAAAGTAGATAGGTTTCAAAAGCCACAAAGATTGGTTACCTTCCATCTTCGACCCTTGGATAAACTGAATAAAAGCAATCGAAATTGCAATCCATTCACTATTCATCGATATTTAAAATCACGTTCAATTAATTTCGAATTATTCCCAGATTATTTTTAAGTAAACAATTCGTGCACCATTGCTACAAAAGCAAACACATTTAACGTCCACGCTCGTGATAATCATGTAATTTATTTACCTTTGTTCCACCCTTATTAATATTTATGTAGTATGCACATAAATTAACAAGGGCCAATAATTAAATACACGGAAAAACAAAAAAAAAATCTGGTCAAATTATTTTTTTATTGATTAATTTCATTTTATGGTATTATTATAAAAATGTTTTTACTTAATTTGATAGAATTTTGCTTCGCAATTGACCTTCAATATTTAATGATATAATAATCATAATTTCAGCCGCATCTGTCGTTCGTATGAACGTACACTGTACAGTCAAGTACGTATTATTGAAAGTACGTTAACATCTGTGTTGTTGCGGTGATAAATAAAAATGTGGGAAAAAGCAGACATTGAGAAAAGATAATTGTAATGGTAGTAATATACAAATTGCAATCTTTATTTACATTTCACACATAATAAATAGACTATCTACAATTCCAATGAACCGCACGAGTCTGTGGTGCGCATTTATAATCGGTGCAGAACGCAAAAAAAAAAACAGAAACACCGCACAAAAACAGTGTCCTTCCTGCATAATATTTTATTAAACATTAGTTTGATATCGGATGATATTCTTCAGCATTAGGATTATGATGCTGAGCATCCAGCGTTGGCACGGAAACGATACTTGTTTTTATTGACTTTAGTTTATTGTAGCCACCCTATGATTTTTTTTTGTTCAAATCAGTGTTTTAGGGCAGCTTTCGTTAAGGGACGGAAATTATTCATCAAGATTCCAATCGTTCGTCCTATTTTTTTTTTATATAAATTTTTGATTGATTCAACATTTTCACGTGTAAATTGTAACGAGTGAACGCCGAAAATAGACGAAACGAGAGAATCGCTTTTGTCGTGCAAGTGCCTTCCGAATGAATCATCCGTGCTATTAATGCGTGTACATACTCTTCTTGCTACTGTTTACAAACGATAAAATACAATTCGTAATTAGTATTTTTTTCTTTCTTTAAATTAGTAATAAATAAGTTAATTACAAATTAATATGCTTAAAAACTAGATAAGATCTCTGGGGTTGTCAGTGGGTTAGCGCAGAATTTGCTCCAACCAAATTTTATTGATTCGAAGTTTGTTTTCTTTTTCCATTCTTTTCGCCTTTCCACTGATTGTACTTTCCATCGGCAATCATCTTCAAACGCGAACAAAATCTGCACACACGTACTAACTGTAAATATATAATATAGATACATATATTTCAATCTACTAAATATTTTGATAACTCCAATCTAAACGGTCTAATTGTGTTTGTTCGTCTCGTTTAGACGTCTCCGGCCAAACTCAAAATCCACTACTAATTGCTAAATTTATTTTGTTGTTACTAAAAAGTAAACGAGTATTATTAAATTTCAAAATAAAACCTCAATTGCGAGATTTGTATGTTGTTCAATATACAATCTCTTATATTTACAAAACCAAAGGTTATCAACTATTATATATTCAAGTAATCAAAAAAAGTAACTAAATATGCAACTAGCTGCAAAATTTATTTTAAAATTTCATCATAATCGACATGAAAATAATTTGATCATCAAGTGTTGTTAAATGATTAAATAATGATGTGTTATTAAATATGAAAGCACTAATATTTAATTCAATTTAGTAATTTTGATAAAGTTGATAATGTTTTGACCAATTGGTGGAATTTAAATTGAATTAAACCAATGAAAAGATGATTCGCAATTTGTCGAGTATTATAAATTATTAATTATTAATTAATATAATGAGAGATAATCTGAGTATTCTGATTGGAAATGTGAGTTCGACCGATTCCGCCTTGAACAATCTTAAAGTGTAAAACAGATCAATAGAAGTTAAAGCTATAACACGAAACATCGACTGTCCAGGATTGAGTCAATTTGTAAATATTGCATTAACAGAATATTTGAAGGCACACATGCACACATCTGTTTGTAAAAATAAAATGTGGTTGATGAAGAACGAAAATAGTAAATTGAAGAAGTGTAGGAGTTAGAAATTTGTACAGGCACTGCATTTCGAGATGGATCTACTTTCACCCAATTTCACAGTGTCTTCCTCGTCCGTCATTAGGTGTCCAGCATCGTGTCTCCTCTGGAAATGAAAAAAAAAAAACAAACGCGTTTCGATGATTAATACCGTAATTGAAGCTGCAATTGACGTGGGAGTGCGCGCTCCCAATTGCTAATAAACAGCTAAAATTATCTCATTTATTATCTAATGGCTGTTGCCAAAACAAAGTGAAGGGTTCGCGCTCTTTTGACATTGACAGACTATAAATACCTTGAGTTCTGTAGCAAGACAGAGGAAGGCCTCCTCAATGTTGGAGTTCTCCTTGGCACTTGCCTCCAGTACGAAGAGGACCTCAGGCATGTACTGGCTTATGCTCTCAGCCTCCTCGAACTCCACCTCCCTTAAATTCTCAGCATCTGCTTTGTTCCCCACAAGGGCAACAAGCACTGCACTACCCGAGTACCTTCTAACCTCCTCCATCCAGCGCGCCACGGATAGGAACGAACTCCTTTTCGTTATATCGTAAACGATAATCACGCCATTCGCAGATCTATAATAACTTTGGGTGATCGTCCGGAACCTTTCCTGACCAGCAGTATCCCAAATTTGCAGCTGCAATTAAGCAACAATTAGCTTCAATTAAAACCACAATTGCTCCAATTATTACCTTGACTTTCTTGCCATCCACCATCACTGTTTTCATAGAGAAGTCAACACCGATGGTGTTGCCATGTCTCTCTATGAATGTACCATTCTTGAACCTCTGCACCACACATGTCTTCCCAGTTCCACAGTCACCGATCAGCACTATTTTAAATAGGAAGTCAAATGATTCCTCGTTGGGAATGCTCATCAGGGTGGTGGGATTACGACTGGACATTCTCGTTTTTTCTGATCGTTTTGGCACTAGTAAACATTTCTGGATGAACGGCGATGATAAAGACCACAGACCATCATCATCGCTCCAACACTCCTCCTGACACCTGTCAAAACACACTTGCTCTTTGCGTTTCTATCACCAAAGTCCATTTTCCAAATGCAAGAATCTCGAGCGAATGTTAATTATAGGATCGTCAAAGTTCGGCCTATAAAGAAATGCTTTATACATCACAAAAACGAAACTACACGAAGACTCAAACGACGAATTTTACACATAATTTAATGCACTGACATTGCGAATTACATAGTTACAACAACATACATTTTATTTTTTAATAAATACATTAAAATTACCTATGATTACTTTTTACTCATAAATCCGATCTTAACATGTTATGTTTACTTAACCTATTTTTATTTAAATGAACTTGCGCAAACAAGTGAAAAAGTATATTGGGTTACCTATATAACAAATCAATCGAAATACTTTTCATAAAAAACAAAGATCATTCTATTAAATCTTCTAATTAATTTAATAGTAATTAATTACTAAATATTTCTTTATATAAATTAATGTTATTTGGATTTTTGTTTGATTCAAGAATACTGCAACTTCAAGTGCTTCCTTAATATTCTCACTTCATGTTATGTGGCACGTATTGCTCAGCAATCAACAATTTGGGTAAAAGTGAATGCAATTTCGTACAAGGTAGATTGTTTAAAAGATCCACGAATTAGGTAAACCGCACCATGATTGAGTCCTGCCCTAAGAAACGGATGTTACTTGGCATAACGTTTCTAGGAGTGTATGTACCATTTTTCTCTTCTCAACCCTTAATCACACTACCCTTAAACTAACCTCAAAATTAATTTGTAGATTAACCATCTTGGTGCTGATTGTGGAGTCGCATTGGACTGAACACACAAACCCATCCAGGAAAAGAGTCTTCATTGTGGAGCAGAACTCAACCTGCTTTGAGAAGGAACATTTTGAGATTATCAAGGAATGCGAACCTTGCACTGGTATTTTGCATCTAATAAATTTTTTTTCTTTAAATAATAATTAATTAAAAATTTCAGAATTTGAAATTGCTAGCAAAAGTATTGGAGTTTGCATTCATACACATTACAAGGAAGTCCTCAGGTGCGCAAGCGGAGAGACTGTAACAAGGAGCTGCGATAAGACGGCTTTCATTGATGAAAGGACGTTCTGGAGGTTCGAGGGTTGCATGTTCTTAGCATCAGTGGTGGCCACATTCTGCGCTCTTTCAAGAAAGCGCGTGTTGAACAGGCGGACTATGCAAAGGGTGCAACGACAATTAGCGAATAGTGTTTAAAAATGGATACGGTATACTTAAAAGTGACCGAGATCTTGGGCGATCGTGTACACGTAAACCTCGAAACTCTGTTGGTGTTGAACGTCTTCAAAATATGCGGTACGGGAAACGTGAAGTTAAGATTAGTTGTGGTGCCGGCGGATTCCCAACCACAATTTCGCGTTCATCTGAATGATTACGAGCAAATTAAACTCGAGGAGATTCCCAAAATTGCCAAGTACTGCTCGTGGCCTGTCATCGTGATTGGGAGGACGGTCGTTGCTGGGTTGTGCTCAGTCTGTAGACAAATAATCAAAAGCAGTAGAAATGAAGAGGTGCAGAACCTGTTGGGGTTCAGAGAGGCATGTCTCATGGCCTGCAGTGAGAGCTCAATTTGGACCAAGTTATGTGAGGTTGATATGATAGCAACTGTTAAGAAACTATTTTCTGCAGATTGTGAGGAGTATCCTTCAATTACACTGCCAGTGGATTTGACTAGGTTCGAATACCATATGGAGAAACCGGTTCGGATTCACAACGTGTACAAATTAGCTAGGGAGAAGAACAATGACAAAGATATTAAATGCTCGGTGCCAGTCGAAAACTTGAACTTGGCGCACTGCTTCAGCGAAGGACCGTTCATCACACTCTCCGATGTTATATTATTTCCGTGTATTAAGATTCTCGGTAGCTATTTTAAAGAACAAATCCTCATCAATCATCTTCCACTGACGTACGCTTGGATGGAGAACATGGGACGACTCGGTTACGATTTTATTGATTTTGAGAGCCTAGGATTACCGGATCTGATTTTCAAAGGTAGAGAGATCAAGCAGGAGGACGTTCCGCGTCACAGCCTGTACTCTTCAGATCCTAAAAGGTATAATCCGTTGAGTAGGATTTACACCAAGCAAAGTGACATTGAAAATTCTTTGAATATCATCGATAAATCTTCCATAGACGTCACTAATGATATAACGCCCTTCGGTCACGAAATTCCCTTCGATTGGTCGCAGATTCCCGTTGAACTCAACCCTGAGGGTGGGGCTTTACCGGAGAAACGAGCGAAGAGGAAGTGCGAGCAACTGGAGAACTTGGTCAAGTCTGTGTTCAAGATTTCTGAAGGGAAATCCTACAAGATCGTTGATTTTTGCAGCGGAAGCGGACATCTCGGGCTACTTCTGGCTTTCTTGCTGCCGCAGTGCGAGGTAATTTTGGTTGAGAACAAGGAGCGATCTCTTCTGAGAGCCAAGGAACGAGTTGTTACTTTAAATTTAACAAATGTTGTTCTGCTGCAATGCAATTTGGATTACTTCAGTGCAAAATTTGATGTGGGCGTATCGTTGCACGCTTGCGGAGTAGCCACGGATTTGGTCATCCAGAACTGCATTGAAAATCGTGCACACTTCGTCTCATGTCCTTGCTGTTACGGAGGAGTCCACGACTGCTACCATCTGAAGTATCCGAGAAGTAAAAACTTCATCGACGAAATCGAGTATGGAGATTATCTGAATTTGGTCCACGCTGCAGACCAAACGCACAAGGATAACGCAAAGACTAAGCAGGGATATCTTTGCATGGACGTGGTGGACACGGATCGGAAATTATACGCTGAGAGCTGCGGATATGAGGTGTTTCTAGGGAAGCTATCACCTCCTACCTGCACCCCAAAGAATAATTTAATTGTAGGCATTTGTAAATAAACGAACGAACTTACTAAATATTTTATTATTCAAAACCAAATAGAAATTATATGTTGATTTTACATTACTAAAAGAAATAAAATATAAAGTATAATAAAAACAAACTTTAAATTTTCATCTTTTTTTTTCATTGCCAATCAAATGATCCAACTAAACAATTGACTATATAAACAAATTAGTGTGGAAAGATCAGTAGCTCTTTCATATGGTTTTCAAAATTGGAATTCTTTGTATAAATTTAGATAATTTGATTTAAAAAAAAACAATTGATTAAATAATTTATATTAAAGTAATAAATAACTAATTAAAAGTAAACACTTTTTAATCTACCATTGATTAAAATAATATTTTGTTGACAATTTTGCAAGACAATAACATAAAATCAGTCAGCATCGAATATTTTAACATAATATAAATATTAAATGTTTCGTTGCTAACGTAAACAATCTAGAAATCTGCGTCGTCTATAACAACAAACAAAATACGATTAAAATAATTGAATAAGCAGATTGAGAGAAAGTGTATGTAAAAAACAACATGGTAAGATGACTAATAATGAAAATAAGAGACTATTTGCATTATAAGTCATTAAAATATATGTTTGGTATTGTATATTCAATGTTTATTTTTAAAGTTCACTCAAATTTATATTTAATGGAACTACAAAGTCTTTTCACCATTGCAATTTTTAAGTGATTTTTATGCGATTTCTATGATTTTTTTTTTATAAAATTGAGAAATACATTGAAATTAATTTCAAATAATTAAATGGTTATTTCTAAGAAACTAGTATTCATATTTATAACGATAAATATAGCTTTCGTATATATAAATATAAATTATCACAATGATTCAAATGGAAAATTTCTTATTAAGCATTTAAGTATGTTTATGGTTTTGATTTATGCTAACAAGCTGCACGAGAACAAAACGAAAATGAACTGAAAAGTGTATAACATTCTGTAATAGCGATGTTTACTATACAACTGTTAGTTAAGTAGAAACTGGGGCAAAGATGCAATGTGAATCATTGCGTTGCGAATCGCGAAGTAATCGTAATTTTAACGAATAATAAAGGATTTTGCACGGATCTATTCTTAGGTGGATCTCTACTTTATGTTTGTAAACATTTCAATGTAGGCATTACTCCACGCGAGCCTCGTGTTTACTTTCTGGACAGACTTTCTGGCTTCATTGATAATCAAGAGGTTATCAGCATCTCTTCGATTACCATGTTCTACATAAAAAAAAACCATTAAAGAATCAGGATGTATAGAAATCGCACTAATTTTTATATATTATATATACAAGCATAAATATTTCCAAAGATTAATAAAAAATCTTCAAAAATACAAAAAAATAAAGTTTTTTTTTATAACATAATTAATTTTTCCTTCTTATTAATTCATTATGAAATCATTAACTATTATATTAAACTACTTTAAAAAACAATATAGTTCAGTAAATGTTATTTGAAACTGGATTAGAAATGAATAATTTAGCAGTAAAGAGTCATAATATGCATAAAATCGCAGTGAACTTATGCAAGAACAAATTACTTGTGTTGGTTTGAACGATAAATATTGTGTTACAATGTTACATTTTTTTTAAATAACTATTTTTGGCCATTTTGACACGTTTTGACACAAATTGGCAAAACCATTTCATCGAAAAAGATGATAATTCTGAACGAGCATTCAAGTTTCAACGCGAGCTTCAGAATTGCATTTCTGGATATCAGGAATTGTACAAAAAAAATAGCAAAACCATCGCAAAGTTTAATCACTGATTATATTGTCAAAGGGAAAAAAATCAACATGCGAAGTTGAGACTAATTTTACTTGTGAAGAATCATTATCTTCAGGACATAGATCTGATATGCTGACTAACTCTTCTAGTGATGAAAGTGATTTCGAACCAGTTCGCAAATTATGCCGAACACTCTCATATAGCGAGGATAATTCTAAAGAAAAAAATATGAAGAAAGATTAACATTTTTCTGTATAAATTTAGAAGGAATATGTTAAGATTATATTTTTCTGAAATTTAATAAACTTGTCTATGATTGTTAACGTTTTTATAAAATTATGAATATACATTTCAGAAAGATTAACTAATTATTTTTCTGAAATTTAATAAACCCTTTTTATGCGATTTTCTGTATATTCTAACACATTGATTTAGTTTTATGCGGTTTTAAAAAATTATGGAACGTATCCTTTAATTTTATAAGTGTGTCTAGTCCTTTTTTGTGCGATTTATTTTTATGCGTTTTCCTGTGGAACGTATCTAGCGCATAAAAAAAGAACCAAGTGTATTTTGAAATTTTCATAAACAATATTTTTGTTTTGTTTTTAATTACTAATGTTGTAACTGATATTTTAATGTATTTAATTTTCAAATGTAACAAAAAGGCTAATTATAAATTAAATTAAGATATATGACTTTCTTAATTAATACTTGATTATTAATCAGCGATCGTCATTTGTTTGTTTTAATTAGCGTTCGATGTATATTGTTATGCTCAATGTATAACGTAATTAAAATAATCATTAATGCTGCATTATAAAAAGAATTAACAAGTACTTACAAATTGTAACATCAATCATATGCATAGAATTAATTAATTAAAATGTCTCATGTCTCAATTACAAATCAATTGCAAATAATTATTAAAATAAAAAGTAATAACTTTATGTCAAACTTTTAATTGTTTACTTTTAAAATTATATTTCGTATTGTCGCTTTGTTATTTAACTAAGATTTCCACCTACAAAACTGATGTTTTTTTTATTCCCAAATTATTCAAATTTAGTTTCTGCTTTAATTTTATATAATATCTTTATTGGATCACAAGATATTTATAATAATGTAATTCTGTTGATATTATTAATTAAAGATTTAAAATTTATCAATTTATGTGATTCTTTGTAATGCATAAAAATCTTTTATTTTATTCAGTAAATAATCAACTTTAATTGAAAATAAGGAAACTATCAATTTAATTAATTAATGTTTACAAACCTAAACAAATATTCTATAAGAATCAATATGTTTTAAAAATATTATTCTTATTATTGCCTAGTCATCTATCATAAGTTTGTTACCAAGGTGATGGTTTGTTAAAGAACACTTCTATTTTTCAGTTGCATAAGTGATACGTCAACGTCTGGTTAATGGAGAACATTTTCAGCAATTTGTTAACGAAGATGATCGGGACGTAGTGCAAGAATTTATTGGTGAAACATTTATTAAAAATGGTAAGAATGTCACTCATTAATTATTGCATCGCCTGTTTGCATAAAAGTTTGTTAAAGATCAATTTTTTCAGTTGTATTAATGATATATGTCAGTTAATGGACATGACTTTCAACAAATTGTTCATGAAGATTGTCGGGTAGAAGTGTAAGAATTTTAATAGAAAGGATTTCGCTTTAACCACGAAGAGTTTGTCCAAATGTTGAAAGTAAAAGCCTATAGAAAAGTTAATCGGATCATGAGATATTTAACAAAAAGGTAAATCAATTATTATTACATAACGTATTTATGCCTGGTTGCATAAAAGTTCGTGATGTGTTGTTAAAGATCAATTTTTTAGTTGTATAAATGATATACGTCAGTTAATGATTTTCAGCAAATTGTTAATGAAGATTGTCGGAATGTAAGAATTTTAATGGAAAGGATTTTGCTTTAACCAAGAAGAGGTTGTCCAAATATTGAAAGTAGAAGTCTATTTTGGATCATGACATATTTAACAAAAAGGTAAAGCTGTCGTTCATCAATTATTATTGCATAAAGTAATTACGTCTGGTTGCATAAAAGTTAAAGATCATTTTTTTTTCAGTTGTATAAATGAAATACGTCAGTTAATGGACATGATTTTCAGTTAATGAAGATTGTCGGGTCGGAGTGTAAGAATTTTAATGGAAAACATTCAGTTTTAACCACGAAGAGGTTGATCAAATGATGAGGAAATTAAGAGCGCATCGCAAAATCAATTTCGCAGCTAGCCGCTCGCATTGATTAAGATGGTAGAAGGTGCATTGGCAATAATGGGCAAAGCGCGGCGCCAATTGAAAAATAAAAGGAAAGAAAGACTAATTAATAATGCCGTACACTCCTTATCCGCGATGCAATCATCCATTCCTGCACGACGAAACAATTGTAATGGTACCGCAAGCGCCACTCCGGAAGCGGGCGAATTAATAATGCAAACAACAGCAACAACAACAACAACTGCAATAACATCCATCAACATCAACAGTAACAACAAGAACTGTACAACAATTGCTGCGAGGCACGGGAGGAGCGGTGATAATGGGTGTAATTGGAGAGGAGCAAAGGATCTCTCTGGTATCACTTTTGGTGCGTAACAGAGACTCGCAGTATCAATGAGGCACCGACGATAGAACCCATCCATCTGGCCAGTCGATTTCTGGTCTTCGCGCGCTCAACTCCGACCGCTCGGGATATTCCAAAGAACACATAAAAACAAAACAAAAAAAGTATAATCCATCGCAGAATCCACGTGTTTCCTCTTCGTCCACCGTTGTTGTTATTGTTTTAGTTGCTGTGTACTGCGAGAAGTGCGTGTGTGAGAAAAAAAAACAAGATGTGTTCCAATTAGAAGTGTCCAAACAATTCAAGCAAGTTACCACCTCTTCAGTGTTCCCAAAAAATATGTGAAATTTGTTCATAACTTCGACCTTAACACAGAGCAGGATGAAAGGCGCGCATCTCTTCCTTAGGTAAGTTTTATCTCATTACATCAATTTTAATTATAATTAGCCTTAACATATCTTCAACAATAAGACATAGCTTTATGTAAAAAATTGAACTTTGAATCAAACTAATTATTTTTATTTCATTGATATAACATGAACATTTTTACATAATTTTACATGTTGCAATAACATTACTTTTCGGGCCATTAAACTTTATTTCTTTTTAGCTTGAATAAATAAACTTCAAATTTGTTTATTCTTTTAATACATATATATAAAAATGTAATTAAGTACACTTTTTTTTCATATTAATTTATATAGAAAATTCCATCAATTGCATTGATATTTAATGCGTACAATTCAGAAATCCACTTGATACAGTTATTGAATTATTCGCGAATTCCGAATGCGTGATAAAAATACCAATGAATAAAACGGTCGGCGATTTATTTCCGTCCAACTGCAAAACACTCTCACACTTTCCATCTCGAACACCCAAACAACAACAATTCCGACACTTGTAAATTTCATTTGATTTTGTTCGTTCATTTTTATTATTTCAAGTAAAATTTTCATTTATTCTTTAATAGTTTCAACTTTCAACTAATTTGATTCCTCAAATCTATCATTAAAAAAAATAAAAGTTTATTTTTACACTGTACTTTTTCAAATTTTTTTTGTTTCAATTTATAATTGATTGAAATGTTAACTAATATTTACCTGGTTTTTTCTCTATTTCTATGGAATTTGAATGTGCAGTCTTCAACTACAATATCCTTAATGTATTGCAATGTCAGAGATTTCCAGAATAGTTAATGATCTCACGGTAGCCTTGTATTATTCTACGATTATTTCGCTATTGTATATTACTTTTCTTCGTGATTTACATAAAAATGAAGTTTAAGATTTCATTTTCTCGAATTATTCAGCTTTAATATGTATACGCCGTTTTTTGTGTGGCATTTTTGTTTGAAAGGAAATTTCAACTAATCTCATCAGCTTTGTGCAAATATCCATTCCGTAAAACTAGCCTTGACTATACAGTAAAACGCCGATTATCCGTGGTAATTCGGGAACGTTAAAGCACGGATAATTGAAAACACAGCTAATGCAAACATGTTATACTGAAATTCTGATTTTTTTTATAAATAAAACTATACTTAACACAAAAGACGAAACAGTCGCATACCAAATTTATGTGACGATTCTAAAAAAAAATATAAGTTTTTTTTATGTAAAAATGTACGTCTATTTACATTGAATATATATAGTGGAACCTCGCTTAACGAGTACCTCGTATAACGAGCAAAATTAATTGTAAGAAAAATGACTCGCTTAACGAGCGAAGTTTCGTATAACGAGTGACGATGAAAAGATAAGTCCCGGATTTCGCGCCTTCTACATCACTTTTAAAAAAACTTCTGTACACAAATTATATGAGTATTTTTGAATATGTTAACTTTCGATCTTCGATTTTCTTTGTCATCTTTGTTTAATATTAATACTTTGCAAATATAATTTGTGTTGCTGTAAATGCAAAAAACAAATGTACTGTGTCCTACCATTATTGTAATATATAAACAAACTATGTACGCTTTTTTATATAAACATATACTAAAAGTATAAAGAAACCTCCACGAAATCCCCGAATTGATATAATTAATATAAACTCACTTCACCGTGTGTGGTTGGAAAACAGTTCCTAGTGTTAGTGGTCATTCTACTTGCATCTTAGTATTGTTTGTGATCACAGAATTTCCAAACTTCTGTTCAGACATGTTATTTGTGTTTTTTTTTGTGCAAAATTTTATAATATCTGCATATCTCCGAATAAAAAGCCAAAGAATAAAAATAACCATAGATATGAAAAGCAAAATCATTAAAAATCGAGACCAAGTTATACTTTTTTTCCGGCATGGAACGAATTATCGTAATTTACATTAGAAAACTGTTTCACTATACAGGTAAAAATCCGGAAATTTTGGAACAGATTAAACTCGTTAAGCGAGGTTCCACTGTACATATATTCAGATTCAGTTAAAGTTTTATATTTTGTGCATTTAAATCTGACTTTCCTATCATAAAATACAATTTTCGAATATTTATATAGCGTATTAACAACATAATTGCTTATGTACGTTTAGTTTATTTATAATAATTCAATTGTAATCTGAAACTAACATTGATTGCATTTCTACTATAAACAAAACAGTTCATTTTATATTTCATGTTTACAGTTTCATTGATTTTTTTTTTGTAAACAATTCTAAATGAATGAATCAACGTATATCTTTATAGCAAACTGTGATAGTGGATAATTATTAAATAGGTCATCAACCCGATACTTTCTGCAGGGTATTTCATTTTTAAACAAAACAAACTTGAGCATAATACGACTAGAACTAGATTCGTTTCAATGAAGAGCACTATTGTATTATATATAATTTGCTTCTAACTATTTAGATGAGAACGTTCAACTGTTCAAAACAAAATACGACAGAATTGCAATATTTCAATTAATTATAACAATTTCAACAGTCTCGATTTCATTCAAATAAGTTTCGTTAACATTTATCTAATTTTTGATGATTTTATATTTACATCATTTGTAATTGTTGATATTAATATAATAATTTCAATAGTTTCAATTCCATAGACTTAAGTTTCGTTAATATTCGTCTATTATTGGTTGATTTTGATGAAAATAAATATCTGTAAATTAATTTTCTATCATTTTTTTGATAATATTATTGTAACAATTTAAACAGTTTCAATTTCATACAAATAATATAATTTGATTATATATAATTATTTGTAATTGAATTTTATTTAAAAAAAAAATAGGAACAAAATTTAATACAATAATTATACAATTACATAAATTATAATAGATAAACATGTTAAAATCTTAAAAAATATATAAATTTTCATCCAAAAATTAAGCAAATATAGTAATATTTGTTGTATAAATCCACAGTGTCCTTACACAAAAATTCAATATTGCAACTAATGATATTTGCTACTATATAAAATATAATTTGAAGCTTTTGTTTAAATAATTTAATTTAAGTTAGATTACGTACATATAATAAGTGTTGCACAATATTCGTTTATGTCAGGTTAAAAGAAAGGATTGTCACCCTATTGTAGGTTGAATTATTTCAAATGTGCTCTCGAGAATGTCACAATATTTGTATATATGTAAATGATCGGAGAAAGGTTATCCATTGAACGATTTTAATATTACCTTTTATTTTATTGCCGATGCATATTTGTTATATTATATAATGCTTCCTGCATTGCATGTCATGGAACATAAGTATTTACGGTAATTGAATACGTGTTTTATTAGAGATGCAAATGTGGCGCTTAAAATTTCTTCGGCTTTGAAAGCAAATTACAAGATAACGGTCAGTTGCACAATAATTACACGATATTTAAAGCGTTCTCTAATTATTTACCTTTAATTTGTTCCTTTTGCTTAATCTATACCTTAATTAGTTTTTTGTAATCATTTACAATATGTAAACGTGTTACTTTTTAAATTCCATTAATTGAATTAAAATATATATATATATATAGATTTATTCACTTTATTTAGTTAGAAGGATCGTTTTTGAATGAATCCAAATGTATTAATTAAAGTTTATATTAATTTCTTTTATTATGAGTATTTTTTTTCTATAATCACAAAATGTTTCTATTTTTGGTGTTTTTATCGATGATTAATGTGGTTATCATTATTCATGACCATGAAAACTTTCAGTTTCAGCGACAAAATTTTGCTATATGAATTGTTTAATTTTAAAACTACATTAATATAAAATAATTATCAAGAATGTAACGTGTTTTTTTCTTATAGTTTCGTTTTACGACCATGTCGTTAAGAATGTCATGTCCAAAGAATTGTCTTGTAACAACAATTAATACTACGTTATGTTATAATTACGAAAACATTTCGTGAGAAAACGCTTTGTCTGTTTGTGTTTTCCCTTTAACTTTTAATTGCTTTTTACAGTCATGTATTTCCGTTTTTCGGATTCAGTCTTATTTCGTTGCTGGACACGCCGAAGTTAGGTAAGAGCAAACACCAGGAAACAATAAACTTTTGAAGTTTAAACGCACAGAAAAAAACGTTTTCTCCGCGTTTCCTCAATTAACGCAAACGGCGCGAAAAAAACCGTCGTCGATTTCTACCTTATCTGTAACTCATTTAACAGTAAAATCTTAATCAAATTTCCGGAATCACCTCAATTATTAACACTAATTAAGAAAATATACCGGGAGGAATAAGGAAAGAGAATAAGTGAAAGACACGAAAAATAAAAACAAGTGGTAGCGGAGTTTATGAGGCATTTGCGAAGACTCGTTGCTATGGGAACAGGTTTTAATAAGGTCCTGTAAACCCTCGGGGTTAGTGTTGATCGAAAGGTGACATTTCCATGGAATGACGGGCGGTATTTCGAAATGACAGCGTGGCCATCTAAAAAATTAATTAAAACCGGAATTTATTTTTGTTTTTGAATGAAATATCCAACTCGTATTTATCGTCAATATTTATCGGTATTAAACACTAAAAATTGTGTCAGTCTTTGATGGTTATCACGTTTTTGTAATTAGTAAATCCATCGGATGTGTCTATGATTAACAGGGCCGAACAATGTTTCATCTTGGAGAGAGTTTTAATTGAACTCTTCAAAATCATCGCCAAAACACGTTCCGATGAGAATGCATAACAAAAATCGTCGATTCGAATCAATACTTTACAGATTTATTTAGTAGATAATTTACTTAATGTCGTTTTTATGATAGTATATAAATAATATAGATTTTATACAAAAAAATAGATACAATCTTGATAATTAGTAGAACAACACATTTTAATTAGTGTCCTTGAATCAATATTTCAAATTTTTGTAAAGTATATCTGAAATGTTTCATGATTTCATTCAGTTTCCAATAAAAACTAGCTTTTGAAATATTTATAATGTATATTTAATTTTTTTATATATTTTTTTTTTAGT